GGCTGGGCTATCGGCCCCCTATTGGCGATGAATGGGAGATTGTGGGGGCCGATGCACCCCCCCATGAGCCTCACGTAGCCCCTGAGACCGCTCGGCCGATTTTTCGCGCTCGGCCGTCCTTTCAGCAGGCCTCGAGCCTCGTTACACGGGCCTCAAGGAGCCCAAACCGGCGAAAGACCAGCCGGCGCCATCTCTGTCGAGGCGTCTGGCGTTCAGGGTTGAGGCAGACTGACTTGAGAAGACGAGGAGGAGGAAGAGGAGGAGGAGGAGGAGGAGGAGAAGGAGGGAGGGAAGGAGGGAGGGGAGGGAGGGAGGGAGGCAGGGAGGGAGGGAGGAGGAGGAGGAGGAGGAGGACCAGTGTACACCCAAGAGTCATCAACGATGTTGGAAGAAACCCTCCCTCCAAGCTCACTCTTCGCATGCCCCTACAAGGGCTTATGTCCACTAAAAGAAATGCCTCGTTGGAAGACAACCGTTTGAAGATACGGAAGCATGCCAGAAAATGGTTCTCGGGATTCCAACGCCACGGATCAGCCTGACTGTTGCATCTTGACGATCCTGAATCGTGCCAGAACGCCATTTCTAGGACCTCAACACTGCGAATATACGTAAGTGTTGCACCCTCATAATCCTGAATCATTCCGAAACACTATTTCTGGTACGCTGAGCATGGGAATCAACGTGCGCGGCGCTAAGGCGAGAACCACATGATGAAAAGGAACCGGTCTCGATCCGTTAAACTCTTGCGTTTTTTAAAGAAATTATCCTGGCGAAGGACCCAACCATATGCAATTGTGAATACTGCAATTGTGAATATCTTCTCGGTGGAGCCCCCTACGGGGCCACGAAACGTACGAGGGGTGTGCCGAAATGGGAATGCGGGACGCATGCGGGCACACCCACTGGGGCCTTCGGTGGAGCTCTCTATGGAGCCAAGAAACGTGTGAGGGGTGTGCCGAAATGGGTATGCGGGACGCATGCGGGCACACCCACTGGGACCTTCGGCGGAGCTCCCTATGGGGCCACGGAACGCGTGAGGGGCGTGCCGAAATGGGTGTGGCTGACGCATGCGGGCGCGGGCACTGGGGCCTTTGGGGCCTTCGGTGGAGCTCCCTATGGGCCACGAAACGTGTGAGGGGTGTGCCGAAATGGGTGTGGGTGACGCATGCGGGCGCGGGCACTGGGGCCTTCGGTGGAGCTCCCTATGAGCCACGAAACGTGTGAGGGGTGTGCCGAAATGGTGTGGGGGACGCATGCGGCCGCGGGCACTGGGGCCTTCGGTGGAGCTCCCTATGGAGAAACGTGTGAGGGGTGTGCCGAAACGTGTGGGGGTGTGCCGAAATGGGTGTGGGCTGACGCATGCGGCGCGGGCACTGGGGCTTCGCGTGGCAGCTCCCTATGGAGCCACGGAAACCGTGTGAGGGGTGTGCCGAAATGGGTGTGGGTGACGCTGCGGGCGCCAATGGGGCCATGCGGAGCTCCCTATGGAGCCACGAAACGTGTGAGGGGTGTGCCGAATGGGTGTGGACGTGACGAGTGCGGGCGGTCTTTTGGGGCCTTTGGAGCTCCATATGGGGCCACGAAACGTGTGAGGGGTGTGCCGAAATGGGTGTGGGTGACGCATGCGGGCGCGGGCACTGGGGCCTTCGGTGGAGCTCCCTATGGAGCCACGAAACGTGTGAGGGGTGTGCCGAAATGGGTGTGGGTGACGCATGCGGGCGCGGGCACTGGGGCCTTCGGTGGAGCTCCCTATGGAGCCACGAAACGTGTGAGGGGTGTGCCGAAATGGGTGTGGGTGACGCATGCGGGCGCGGGCACTGGGGCCTTCGGTGGAGCTCCCTATGGAGCCACGAAACGTGTGAGGGGTGTGCCGAAATGGGTGTGGGTGACGCATGCGGGCGCGGGCACTGGGCCTTCGGTGGAGCTCCCTATGGAGCCACGAAACGTGTGAGGGTGTGCCGAAATGGTGTGGGGACGCATGCGGGCGCGGGCAGTGGGGCCTTCGGTGGGGCTCCCTATGGAGCCACGAAACGTGTGAGGGGTGTGCCGAAATGGGTGTGGGTGACGCATGCGGGCGCGGGCACTGGGGCCTTCGGTGGAGCTCCCTATGGAGCCACGAAACGTGTGAGGGGTGTGCCGAAATGGGTGTGGTGACGCATGCGGGCGCGGGCACTGGGGCCTTCGGTGGAGCTCCTATGGGGCTACGAAACGCTGTACTGGGTGGGTGAAACGCAGGGAAGAGATGCTGCTGATGGATGATGATGATGATGATGATGATGATGATGATGATGATGATGATGATGATGATGATGATGATGATGATGATGATGATGATGATGATGATGATGATGATGATGATGATGATGATGATGATGATGATGATGATGATGATGATGATGATGATGATGATGATGATGATGATGATGATGATGATGATGATGATGATGGCAGGAGGGAGGGGGCAGCGGGAGGAGTGAACGCGGGGCGCTGTCTCTTCAAAACGAGGACCCAACACCACAGGATGGTTGGGGAAAAAAAAAAAAACGAACGTGCACTGCGCTAAAGCGAGAGCCACATGATGAAAAGGAACCGAACGTAATCCAAGAAAACTGTTGCCATGTGTACAAAACCACATGTGCGCGGCGCTAAAGCGAGAGCCACATGTTGAAAACGGGTCGACCTCAATCCGTGAAAATCTTACAATGTTGTAAAAACGAATGTGCGCGGCGCTAAAGTGGGAGCCACAATTCGAAAACGGGTCGCCCTCAATCCATGAAACTCTTGCAAATGTGTAACACGAATGTGCGCGTCGTTAAAGCGAGAGCCACATTTTGAAAACCAGCCGCCCTCCATCTGTGAAACTGTTACCAATGTTTAAACTTCAGGGTCACACCTGGTGTTGAGGAAGCCTCAGGCGAAACGCCCGGCCCGCCCCAAAAACTGGCCTCGGGGTGCGACAGGGGGAAATTATCTATGAGGAGAAGGAATGGAGGAGGGGAAGGGCTCAGGGGGGAGGGGAACATCGAGCTGGATTCGGCGATGCACCGCCGATAGATCGACGACCGGCCCCCCGATAGCGAAGCCGCCCGCTCCTGGGCGGGGGGGTGAGGTCATCGGGCCCCTGGGGCCCCCATCGGCGATCAATGAGCGATTGGGGCCAACGCATCCCCACTGAGCCGACCCCCCCCCGACGTTGCCCCTGACTCTCTCTCTCTCTCGTCCGACCCGAAGCCCTCCTTCTCGTCCGACCCGTAACCCTCCCCGCCCCCTCCCTCCCAGACCCCCGCCGTCATGATTGTCCCACAGCGTGGACCCCCAGAATTCTGGACCTGTTTCATCCTGCGTCGTTTCTTGATGGTCCTCCTCCTCCTCCTCCTCCTCCTCCTCCTCCTCCTCCTCCTCCTCCTCGTCTTCCTCCTTCTCCTCCTCCTCATCATCCTCGATCTCCTCCTCCTCATCCTCCACCTCCTCCTCCTCCTCCTGCATCCTCCTCCTCCTCCTCCTCCTCCTGCCGCCTCCTCCTCCTCCTCCTCCTCCCTGACCCTTTCGTTCGACCCGAAGCCCTCCTTCTCGTCCGACCCGTAACCCTCCCCGCCCCCCTCCCTCCCAGGCCCCCGACGTCATGATTGTTTCTCACGGCGTGGACCCCCGGAGGTCTGGGCCGTGCTTCCTCATGCGTCGTTTCTTAATGGTCAGAAGAGGAGGAGGAGGAGGAAGAAGAAGAAGAGAAGGAGGAGGAGGAGGAGGAGGAGGTAGAGGAGAAGAACAAGAGGAGGACGAGACGGGGGAGGAGAAGGAGGAGGAAAACGAGGAGGACGAGGAGGAGGCGGAGGAGGAGGAGGAAACGGAGGAGGAGGGGGAGGAGGAGAGGGAGGAGGAGGAGGAGGAGGACGACGAGGACGAGGCGGAGGAGGAGGAAAACGAAGACGAGGAGGAGGAGGAGAAGGAGGAGGAAGAGGAGGCGGAGGGGAGAAGAGGAGGAGGAAAACGAAGAGGAGGAGGAGGAGGAGGAAGAGAAGGCGGAGGGGAGAAGAGGAGGGAGGAGGAGAAAAAACAAAGAGGAGGAGCATAACGAAGAGGAGGTGGAGGAGGAGGAGGCGGAGGAAGAGGAGGCGGAGGGGAGAAGAGAAGGAGGAGGAGGAAAACAAAGGTGACGAAGAGGAGGAGGAGGAAGAGGAGGAGGAGGAGGAAGAGGAGGCGGACGGGAGAAGAGGAGGAGCAGGAGGAGGAAACTAAAGGCGAGGAGGTGGAGGAGAAGGAGGAGGCGGAGGGAAGAAGAGGAGGAAAACACAGAGGAGGAGGAAGAGGAGGAGGAGGAAAACGAGGAGGAGGAGGAAGAGGAGGCGGAGGGGGGAGAAGAAGAGGAGTAAAACGAAGAGGAGGAGGAGGAGGAGGAGGCAGAGGAGGTGAGGGAAGAGGAGGGGGAGGAGGAAGAAAACAAAGAGGAGGAGTAAACGAAGAGCAGGAGGAGGAGGAGGAGGAGGAAGAGGAGGCGGAGGGAAGAAGAGGCGGAGGAGGAAAACAAAGGCGAGGAAGAGGAGGAGAAAGAGGAGGTGGAGGGGAGGAGAAGGAGGAAAACAAAGAGGAGGAGGGTAGAAGAGGAGGAGGAAAACAAAGAGGAGGAGGAGGAGGAGGACGAGCAGGAGGAAGAGGACGAGGCGGAGGAGAAGGACGAGGAAAACGAGGAGAAGGAGGAGGAGAGTGAGGCGGAGGGGACACGAGGAGGACGAGGAGGAGGAAAACGAAGAGGAGGAGGAGGAGGAGGCGGAGGGAAGAAGAGGAGGAGGAAGAAGAAGAGGCGGAGAAAAAACCCTCCGTCATGACTCTTCTCGCGACGCGAGGGGACCCGGGCTCCACGGCCCCTCTCCTCGCCGCCGCCGCCGCCGCTGCCGCCGCCGCCGCCCGCGGGGGGGGGCCACGGCCTGCTTCGCCTGCGCGCGCATGCTGGCGGCCTGCTCGGCGAGGTCCTTCGCGCCCTTGAGCCTCGCGGCCGCGTCGTCCTCCGGGGGCCGCGGGAGAGCTCCCGGAGGCCTCCCCGCTCGGAGAGACGGGGGCCTCTCGTCCGCCCTCGGCCTCTGGGGGCCCCCGCCAAGCAGCCCCCCCCCCGGGCCGTCCAGACACGACTCCTCCTCCTCCTCCTCCTCCTCCTCCTCCTCCTCCTCCTCCTCCTCCTCCTCCTCCTCCTCCTCCTCCTCCTCCTCCTCCTCCTCCTCCTCCTCCTCCTCCTCCTCCTCCTCCATCCTCCATCCTCGATCCCTCGATCCTCGATCCGTCGACCCTCGAGCCCCAGCCATGGGTTGCACTGCACCCCGAGGCGCTGGCGCGCGCATGCCCCGCCCGAGCCCAGGCTGGCGCTCCAGAAACGTTGGGGGGGCGACAGATCAGAGGCCTCCCAGATTGGGTTCGGAGCAGACGGGGCTGGAGGGCCGCGCCGCATCGCGGATACATCGGCGATGCGTCGGCGATGCAGCGGCGACGCACCGGCGATGCATCGTCGACGTCGGCAAGGCATCGGCGACGTCGGCGTGAAGCAAATCGCGCCCCACATCGAGCCGCATTGGCGATGTATCGGCGATGCGGCCCGATCCTCCGACTCCATCTAGTCCGACCCCCATCTGGGAGGTCTAGGGAGTTCTCCATCCCAACAGGAAGCCAGGACCAGGGCAACGTCGGATCGGATGAATCGGGGATCCCTGAGATCCGGCGGCTCTGGAGAGAGAGTACCTGGCGCCGCGGCTTTTCCAGAGCGCTCCAGAGCGCTCTCACAGCGCTCCGGAGCGGCGCTCTGGATGAGGAGGAGGAGGATGGAGGAGGAAGGAGGAGGAGGAAGGAGGAGGAGGAAGGAGGAGGAGGGAGGAGGAGGAGAAAAAAGGGAGGAGGAAGGAGGAGGAGGCGGAGGAGGAGGAGGGAGGAGGAGGGAGGCGGAGGAGGAATGCATCCCGGCCACAGCCCGGCCCGACGTGCGCCCCCTCGGTTCCGGCGGCGCTCCCAGGGCGAGCGGCAGGCGGGGCCGCGCCTCCTCGGGAGGCGGCGGGGGCTCTCAGAGGCACCCGCGCCTTCTGGGAGTGGCCTCGAAGGTGCCCAGAAAGCTAGAGTCGGGCCCAGGCCAGAAAAACCTCCCGCCCAGAACAGGAGCCCACCTCCGTCGGCCAAAGAGCAGGCAGACCAGCCGAGGGCACACACACACACACACACACACACACACCTAGGATGCACGGAGAGCACCCGGCTAAAAAACGAGGAGCACCAGGGGCGCCCTCCCCGAACCGACCTCGATCTCATACCTCGGTCCGACCGTACGTGGCTTCGCAGAGTGATCAGAGAGCTGCTCTCAAGTCGGGCCTGTCCCCCTACAAGCCGATGTTGGATGAAAAATTAAGAGCACCAACAAAAAACCCTAAAATATAACATGGCCAAACAATCGTCCCAAGACTTGTTTTGACTATTTTTGAAGATACCTCCTGCAGAGGGACAGGCCCGACTTAAAGCTGCTCAGAAGGCGTGGGCAATCCTGAGAAGCCCCGCCGCCTGCTGAGAGAAAGCCGGCCTTCCGTCGGCCTTCCCCTCGGGACGCGCGGCTGCCTCCGTTGGCGATGGGCACCGCACTGCAAGGGCCCAGGGGCACACACAAAGAAGTAGGCTCAAATCCCAAGAGTCTCCCCATATGTTCCCATATCTTCTGGATTTTCGTCTTCCCCCCCACTTCCCATATGTTCCCATACCAGGGCTGAACCTGAACGGTGCTTTTCGTTTTCGTTTTGTGTTCGTTTTCCCTCGCTTTGTCTTCGATTCACCTTTACCGCAAAACGAAGTCGAAACGAAAACGGCCCACGAAATCACAAAAACACCGTTTAGGTCCAGCCCTGTCCCATACTTTCCGGGGGGATTGGCGATGAATTGTGACTGTGTGTTTCACCCCTCCTGATACACCCGGGATCATCCGAGGGAGCCCTTGGAACCCGAGGACAACAAAAGAAGGAAAGAGGGTGAAACTATCAAGGCAAGGACCGACCACAACGATGTTTGAAACGAGATGGCGCTCAAAACGAAAAACGAATCGAGGCCCAACGTTTAAAACGAAACCGGAACCAAACGAAACGGATCGCGAGACGAGGCGTTGAAAGCAAGAACGGAAAACGAAACGAAAAACGAAACGACAAACGAAACGAAAAGCGAAACGAAAAACGAAACGAATTCCCAAACCAAACTAAACGGCGTTGTGGTCGGTCCTTGTATCAAGGGCCCACACAGCTGGAGCGGTGACAGATGTGCTCAAAGGCGACGCTGGCAGAGGCCCACCCGAGTGACCACGATGGAAACAACCGCCTCCACAAAATCACACACAAAAAATCCAACACGGGCGAAATGCCCTATTCATGAGGCAGTGCTTCCCACTTGCGCTCATGGCCCAGTCCGCATCGCGCGCCCCGAAGCCATTACGCTCGCCCAGCACTCCGAAACGTACCCTGGCAAAGCACCTCATTTGTTCTGCAGACGGTGGCACGGGCGTAGCTCTGCGTGCGCATCCGGAGTAGGGTGGCTCACGGATCAAAGGAAGCAAAAAGTAAGTGGAAGAGGCAGAGGTCGAGGAGGACACAGGTTCGACAGACAGGAGGAGAATGGAACAAAATGCGCTCTCCAGGCGCGGCCACGTCACCGTATCAGCGACATCGGAGAGGACCCGCAGCGAGCGGAAAACTCTAGGATGGGCTGGGGATCCGCCGCAGACTCTGCAGAACACATGACGGATGGAGTATGGAAGAGGCTGTAAAGAAACGATGTCTTCCCGACAAACAAGCCAAAGAAGGGTGAGAAGACCACGTCGGCCGTGACTCGCTGCCCACCCGAGACGGCTTGATGCGGAAGGTGGCAGAGTCCCCTGAAGCCTTCACCGTTATTGCAGGTTCCTCGGCCAGGAAAAACCACTAAGTACTAGCCCAGCCGAACCGAGTGGCATACGCAACTGGACTGTACGAACACTACCAGCCCACAGGGGTTTCCGGGCCACGCGACCTCATCTCCAGACCAAAGGCGCAGTCCCCGTGCCTGGTACCCATCTCCAGGACACGGGCGCAGCTAAGGCGCCACCTGCGGACCAGCAAACTGCTTCACGCTGGCTCCGACAATTGGACCCGATTGCTAAGGTCGGGGAGACGTAAGACCCGGGTACGGGGGACTCGGAAATCCCCGACGAGGTCGTCAAAAAAATGACGAGGCCGAGCCTGCATTTTGACGAGGCCTCCCGCTGCAGACATCCCACAAAACTCCTCCTCGTCAAAATCCGAGTCGCGGTCGTCAAAAAACGATGGCGAACCCGGGTCCTGGCAAACCCGGGTCTTACGCTCCCCCGATAAGGGGAAGCAGGCGCAGAGAGAGGAAGGGCGACGAGGAAGAGCGGGGGGGACGGGGAGGAAAGGAAGGAGCCCTGGAGCCCGCAGCTCGGCGGCATCGCGCGGAACCGACGGCATCGCCTCAGAGCCTGCCTGCGGAGCGTCGACACGAGCTGACTGCCTACCAGACCACCCCAACCCAACCCGAAGACCCGAATTTCGGGTGGGGGGGGTACAGGTTCCATATGTGTTTTCTCGATGTTCCCCGACCCCCCCCCCCCCAATGGAAATGGAGGTCAAATTGAGGCCTTCGGGTTGGGTTGGGGTCGTTTGGTGAGTGGTGACGAGCTCCGCCAGTCGCCGCCGCCCGAATCCAGGGCACGCTCGATCCGGCGAGCCGTGAAGACCGGCGGGAACGCACGAGAGGCGCGCCTCGGACTCGAGGCGCGCCAGCGGGCAGCGCCATGCGCGGAGCGAGTACAGTCGGGGCGTTGACCTAAGGAACCCTAAATAGGGAACGAGGCCCCTTTTTTCCATGGGTTAAACTTCGATTTCCTATCGGAAACATAGGGAAAACCTGAGGCAAGCTGCGAAACACTTAAGGAACGCTGAGCCCCTCCCCAACGAAAAGGGTTCCTTCTTCAGGGCCCCGACTGTCTCGGCCACGCCGCCGGGGCAGCCATCAAACAGGAGGGGGGAGGAAGGAGAAGGGCGAGCATCAGGAATGGGGAGAGCCTGATCTGCAAGTGGCAAGATCGAGCGACACCATATTCGGCATCGCGCAAGGTGGCGAGAACAGAGTGTGGCTATTTGTTGTGCCGTCGGTCAGAAGCTTCCTGGATACAGGCCGTGGACTGCTGGGACGCCTCTGGGGGCCTTTCGGCGGCGTCTTGCTAGTCTTTCGGGGCCACTTGGAAAGCTCTTGGTGCCTCCTAGGAGCCTCCAGGAGTCTCTGAGGGCATCTGGGGGGCGCCTCGAGAACCTTTGCGAGAACCTTGGAGCCATCTTGAGGCAAAGCGCTAGAAAGGCTTGGGTAAGTCCTCTCTTTTGTCTCTTTCTTGGCGCGCGCGCGCGCTGACGTTCTAGCTAGGCTGGACAGGTGAACTCGTGGGATCTCGATGTTTACAGTGGTTTCAGGGGCAGCCAAGAGGACACGAAGACGACCCAAGAGTGCCAAGACAGCGTCGGAGAGTTCAACAGCATTCCCGAAACATGTTTGCGGTGTGACCCCGAAGTCTTGACGTGGCTCGGGATGAACTTGAACAAAAACATAATCACTGGATTTCCTCTTCTTTTTCAAGTGGGGCCTCCTAGTGCGCAGGAACCAAGGGGGCCTAAAAGGCGTGCAGGGAGCTCTTGGGAGGCAGTTTGGAAGCCGCTGGGGGGCTGTTTTGGCGTCCCTTGGGGCCACTTTGGGGCCTTTTCGGGGCTCTTGGGAGGCTCTTCGGGCTCTTTGGGTGACTCTTGGGGCCTCCCGGGGGCCTCTTAAAGCGGAAAGCTGGGATTGTCGATCTGCGTTCCCCAATTGGGCGGCTTTTCGGGCCTTCTTGGGGGTCTTTCTGGGGGCTGCCTCAGGGGGCTCTTGGGCCGATTGGGGCCTTCTTGGCCCGTGTTGGAGCCGTCTTGGGGGCTCTTGGGCGGTTTTGGGGCGGTCTTGGGGGCATTTGTAT